TCCTGCTGTAAATGCTAATTCTATTCCTTAGTTACAAGGTAATTAGAGTAAACCTACTTAAGGGGTTTACTATTAATGTTTCTGATAAGGATGGCATTTGTTAACACTTAGACTACTAGGATGAATTTTCATAAGAGACACCGGTTCATCTAAATAAGTACATTTTTTCCATAAAAAGCAACCATATTCACCTTTCATTGTTGTAAGATTGCATTTGTCTCTGGTTTACAAGCAGTTTGACCCTGAACTGATTAGTATAACTCCCCGCTATGGCCATTTAAATCAAAATGCTGCAACTTCAGACTTTGTCAGTAATTCTATTCATTTGTCTTTATCATGGCTTCAAGCTTATTCTGAATAGAAGACTAGTTTTATCTAACTAATATTGATGATGAATGGCAATAAAAATACATTGAGGAAGAACATCTATTAGGCTAGGGACAGACATTGCACATAAATCAGTTTATGTGATCAGAAACTGGTTTAAACTTGTAACAGAACAGATGTTCAGTGCACATAAACCAGTTTCAAAATGTCCAAAACTGGTTTAAGATAAACTTGATTGAATGTAGTATCAGACTTAAGTGATTTGGCTCAAACTGGTTTATGCAATGTCTGTCCCACACCACTTGCTGGTTTAAGATAAACCAGACTCCCCCAGCATTCTGGCATGCTCTCTGGTCTGGGCAGGCCTCTCTGCCCCAGCCGCAGGGCTGCCCCCGCCCCTCTGCTCTCTAGCTGGAGCAGGGACTGGCCCTAGCAGAGACACTGGCTGGCATGGCCCCGTTAAGGCAAAGTGGGCAGGGAGGGGGTTAATTCTTCACTCCTTCCCCTCTTCCCCAACACAGCCAGGGCCAGCCTGTCTCTTGGGGAGCAGAGAAGAGGGGACTGCAGCGGTAGCCCCTGGAGCTGGCAAACCCCGACTTCAAGGAAGGGATGGAGGGAGGAATTAACCCTTTTTCCCTGACCCTTCATCTTAATGGGGCCATGCTGGGTAGGTTGTCCTGTAGGGTTGGAAGGGGGGCCCTGTTCTATGCTGGGGGAGGACTCTTCCCCCTCCTCCTCCTCCCAGGGTGGGGAGGGGTACTCTGTGAGGCTCTGGATGGGAACTCTTCCTCCTCCTCCCCTTCTCCCCCCCCCGCCGCTGGGCGGGGGGTGTCCATGTAATGCTGCCTGGCCTCAGAGTGGGCGGGGGCAGAGGGAGGCTCTGTTCCATGCTGGAGATAAATCTTCCTCCTCCTCCTCCCCCCAGAGGGGCAGCGGCAGTGCAGAGCTCAGCTGAGCAGCGTGTAGGTTTCTGGAGTGTGAGGGAGGGTAGAGAGTGTAGGGACCTCCACACACTCCCCCCCATGGTGTGCAGTCCCCACTGCCTGGCAGCAGCAGCAGGCAGGGAGGTCAGGGTGCTCGTGCCCGGCGCAGGCGCGGCTCTGGCCAGCAATGCGCGGTGGGAGGGAATGGAGCCTGCCTGAGCCTGAAGCATGAGAAGCCCCACACTGGAGCCAGCTGCTTCCCCCACTCCCCGCTGTGCAGGTCCAGCACTCTGCTGGGAGTGGAGGGAGCACTGCCCCCTGCTTCTCCACAGAGTCCAGTGCAGGGCTCCCCCTCTGTGAGAGAGGAGCTGCAGGCATGGCGTGGAGCCACAACAGAGGCAGCCAGTGCTGCACTGGAGGTGAGGAGTGCAGTCCCGCGCAGCCTGTCCAGGTGCTTCTATCCCTGTGGCTCTACATTGAGCCTGCAGCTCCACACTCACAGAGTGGAAGCTCCATGCTGGACTCTGTGGGGAAGCAGGGGTGGGCTCCCTCCATTCCTGGCAGAGTGTGGGACCTGCACAGCGGGGAGTGGGGGAAGCAGCTAGCTTCAGTGCAGGGCTTCCTTTGGTGCAAATTGAGTCTCAGGGAGCAGAGTCATAGAGATAAGGCAGGCTCTGCTCCTTCCCCCCATGCAGCGCTGGCTGGAGCTGTACCTGCGCCACGCACGAGCACCCTGACCTCCCTGCCTGCTGCTGCTGTCAGGCAGTGGGGGCTGCACACCATGGGGGGAGTGTGTGGGGCTCCCTACACTACCCCATCCCTCACACTGCACACCCTGCCCAGCTGAGCTCCATGCTCCAACTGCCCCTCTGTGGGGTAGAAGGAGGAGGGGGAAGAGTTCCCCTCATCATAGAACAGAACTTCCCCTGCCCTGGGAGGGAGGAGTGGGGGGAAGAGTCCCCCTCTGGAGCTGGGCAGCATCCCATAGAGCCCCCCTCCCCACCACGCAGTGATGGGGGAGAAGCAGCGGAAAGAGTCCTCCTCTGGGGCCAGACAGCCTTGCAGACACCCCTCCCCACCCCACTGCAAGGGGGGAAGGAGGAGGGAGAAGAGTCCCCCCAGCACCAAACAGGACCCCCCTCCCAGCTCCGCAGCAGTGGGGGACAGGGAGGAGAAGGAGGATAAGTTCCCCTCTGGGGCCAAGCAGTCCTATGCGCCCGGATTGCTCCTGGCTTTCAGGAAGCCACGGGGGCAGACATGCCAGGGCCTGGCCACACCCTACCCTCCTCAGCTCAGCTTCCCTGTAGAAGGGAGGGCTGCTCTACCGTCCCTGGGCTTCTAGCTTGAGCCACTGCAGGCATGTGCCAAACGTCTATCTATTTGCAAACTGGTTCACTCTCTGCAGGTTAGAGTAACCTGCAAAGACTGAATCAATTCAGGCTCAGGCTTTTTGAATGTCTGTCCCTAGCCTTAATGTCTACAGTAATATTTTACTATCTAAAAATAAATCTTGATAGAAAATGTTTTATTAGCTAATTAACAGTAGTTTCTCTAGTGTTTAGTCTCTGTTATACAGTAGTAGGTACCTTTGCATTGACACATCCTTGAGGGTGAGACAGACATGGAGTCAGACTGCATCTATATTGATCCCATTGCTAATCAGCTCATGTCCTTGCAATTTCAAAAACAGATTTCCTTTTCTTCTCTGTCAATACCAATGTAAATCATTCATCCTCAATCTACTAATTTTAGGAATTCTGAATCACAAATTTGCTAACTAAACATAGAGACCACTCCTTCCATCGGTGTATGGTCTCTTTTCTCAGGCTCTGCAGTGTGGTATGGAGATATGCAGACAAGGAGACCCGCTCTATGTCACAGAGTAGCAATGGAACTACTTTGTGACTGCTGCCCCTTCCTCTGCAGAAACGTGTGTGGCCGGTGTACCAAAAAACCTGTCTCAAACTTCCTCTGTGCTAGGGTACAAAACACCTGACAGTTCCATGGTGCAGTGGTGGTACATACCACTCTATCTCTGCAGCTTACTGTCCATAGAATATGGCCATGATAATCCTCCTTTTGCCTCATCATTTGAAAAATGAACCTACCTTGTTCAGTATCTCTGTAGCCAACAATGAAAATGCATCCTCAATGTTTATGTTGTCTTTAGCACTGGTCTCAAAAAACGGTATTCCATGTTCCCAAGCAAGCTGAAAAACAAAAGAAGGCAAGGGAAGAACGCACTTTCACATGTAAAATACTATTTATAAAACATGAAACATTTATTAAGGTAACTTCCCAATGCTGTCAGCTTAAATATAGAAAGAAGAGTCCTACAATTTTTAATATAGTACATATTCTTTAATTTAGTGCATACCAGTTCAGTAGGGAAAAAATGACATTCATCCTTAATTTACTAATTTTAAGAAGTCCTTACAATATTCTGTTTACATTTGTATACTTGCAAGGATGGCTTTCCTGACATGGGTTTTCATACGCATTCTATAGTGTGAAAGTTTATTGGGTTTGGTCTAATTTTTCATTTAAACAGACAATGGAGTATATCCTTCATATTTTGGAGGAAACTGTTTGAAATATGCAGGAAAAAAATAATATACATATTAAGACCTGCAGAATTCAATACCTGCAAAAGGGTATAGATGGCAAAAAACAAAACATTCTGGAAAAGGTTGGTTACAATGCAAAGCTAATTTTAGAATAAAGAGGGCACCTAGAAAGGTTTCTTCAGATATTTTTTTATGCAAGGAAAGACTCCAGACTGAGACTGAGTCCAATTAACTGTTTTAGATGCTGCAGTACTACTTGAAAAACAAACTGTCTTGGAAGAAACTTAAGGAGATCAGCTGCCTATGAACAATGGTAATACAAGCCAAATACAAACCAGTTCTTAAAGGAAAGAGGAAATATCAGAGTCTCTGGAAACCAGCAAGATTTTGAGGGACTGTGAATGGGAATCAGTTTGGAATGTGTATGCATGAAGTGGCAGGAAGAGTTTTATATGAATACTGGTCCTATTTAGTTTGAATACAGGTACCCAGGTGGATAACTTCCCAGGATTTGTAGTTTGGTACTTAGAGATCATAGGGATAGACAAACATTTGACTTGTTTTAAAACCACATGAAACACAGAACCCAATCTATAGTTATGAATAAGATGTAAGAATTGAAAATGTGTGTTCCATAAGTATTTTCTCACCCACTGACTACAGCTGAAACAGATTAACAAAGAAAGTACGCCCACCCATTTTCAGCTGAATGATATTTATGATGGAAGTTTACCATTGGGAAAGGCTTGTTGTTATTCTTGTGGGCAATCCAGCAACTTCAAGCAAATTAGGCACTTTCATTCCACATACAACAAAGATATATTGCCAATATCTTTCCCCAAGCTAAACTTTAACCCCATCGTATACGTCTTCTGTATACTAAATATAGTAGGTTCCTAGCAAAGGAATTAAAAACAAAGATCACCTCAATGTATAATCAAATATACTACTGTTTGAAATATTCATAATGCCGCATGCCATGTTTGGCTTTTTCATATTGCTCTTAGGAAATTCCTCTTTAAAATCAAATGCCTAAAGACAGGAAAAGCAAGTAACATAACACCTGTACATGGTCATAATTGTTTTCCTGAAAGTGCAAACAGACCGAAGGAATAGCCCCAAGAGATGTATTCATGTCTCTCCTCATGTCAGTCCATTTTTAAATATGAATGCAAAAGAAGATGGGCCAGATACCTTTAGCTTTTTTAACCTTTAATCTTTAGCTTTTTTTCAATGTAGAAAAAGACTTCAGTTGTTTACATTTTACTTCTCTCTTCCTTTTATCTGGTCCTACCAATTTTCCCATAGGCAAAAACAGAAAAAAAGAGGGAAGGGGAGACAAAATCATAAGAGGTTTTTTGCTTCATACTTCTTCTTTAGTTGGTGCTGCATTTTGGCAGGATAATTTGAGTAAAAAGAAAGAGCCATATCATGTTCCACCTATTGGGCATCTAAGACAGTGGTTTTCAAACTTGTTAAGCTGAGCACCCCTTTGAGGTACAATTTTGTTCGTATGCCCCCATCCCCTGCCCGCCACCGCTTCCATCACCATGGCTGGGCAAGAACTGGGCAAAAAGGAGTGTGGGGGGATGAGTGTTGCCCACTGTGGGCTCAGGGCTCCCCACCCTGCTGCCTTTCCCTCAGGAGCCCCATGCCAGCTGTGCACCCCTGCCCACCAAGCAGCATCAGGGGGCACAACTCCATATCGCCACCACACCCGCTACTGCTGGCTGGGCAGGGAGTGCCTTGCCATGTTGGTGTATAAATTGTTTCATACTGTCAAGATCAAATTTTATGGTATAATACCATCTCCTGTACAATGCAAGTGAGAGAACTAAAAAGACAAATGGTTTTAAAATATATTCTCTGAATGAGATTGTACTCTTGTACTATAAAATGGGAAACTATAAGTTTTGATGGACCCTTTGGGAAGAGTCAATGTATAGGATGAGAACCCTGAAGGATCTTTAAAACTTTCCTGAAGGATTCTGGAGAGAATACATGCTTACAACCTGCACTTACAAGTGTAGTATGAAATAACTAAATATGAATTATTCATTGACAGAGTTACTATTATACAATGTGATTTACTTTTTGTTAACACACTTTATTTTACTAAAATGAGTGGACACTGTTCGCTATTTTCCTCCTAATGGAATCTTTCACTAGCTGGCTCAATCGGGATTCTCTAGTGTTTTGAAATCACATTAAAAAGGAATACTTAGTATAACTGAAGAGTGCTTCAGAACACAGGGGAAATCTAGAGAGCAAACTGGTTAGTGAGGAGGTAATGATTTGTTCCATAAAAAATAGTATGTTAAGAGAAATTTATGGTTGCATGGTTAAGCACTCAGAAGTCAGAAAATGCCATAGTTAACACTGTTTTTGAAACCCTAACACTGCCCCCTTGTGCATATGCATCATGATAGTCTTCAGTAACAACATTACAGACTGTGTGAAAAAGAGTAGATACCATTTTTTCCAACAGCCTCAAGTACATACACATCACATCTTGTACTTCTCTGCGCCGATTAGGTGGACTCCATGAAAATCTTATATTCAAGGCAACAGTGAATGAGATAATTATGCACTTTAAGAGATACAAACTTGCAGTGCTGCTCAAAAGGTGATCTTTTTAAAACTGAATCATTTTGAAAAATTTGGCTAGATACTACCAAGATTGAGTGTGTACCTTATGAATGAGGGAAGTGCTCCTTTCAAATGACATACAATGGATAAATACAATTATCAAATAAGGGCTATATTATGGCATTTAATTATAGCATTAACGTATCTTTTGCTTTGGCATAACTTCCTGACCTTTTCAGTTGTTCCGAGACACAAATTCTACAGTTCTTTGAAAGGTATATTATATTCTCCCACAACCATTCGTCTCCTACAGATGGTCAAGCTATTCTCACTTCCTTTATAGCAAGATGCACCCAGAGGTTATAATAGAAATGATCATACAGACATTAAGGGGCCCTGCTCTAACTCATGGCACTTTACACCATGAGCTGGGTCAGGGGACCACAAGACAAAGGGGCTCCATTTTGCCTTACCCCCTGCCCTCCAGCTCCAGCTAGGCCAAGTCCAGCCAGTAGCTGCCTGCCTGTTCCTCCATCCCCCTCATCCCCCTGCTGACAGTCCTGGGGGCAGAGCTTGGCTGGTGCTCACTGGTATGAAAAATGAACCCTGGAGGGAACACAAGTTCCCTAAGGCACTGTCCTTTAGAGAGGTGCTCTTCATCTAATACCTGATTTGACAAGGGTTAATTTTTCATGCTATCGGACAGTTTAAAAGTACTCTGCAGCCATGCACATGTGTTGTGTCATGGCTGCAGAACACTTTCAGGGGCCCAATTGCACAAAAAATGTAACTTGTGTAAGTGTCCACACCCTTCACTATAGTTGAGAACTACATATTGCAACCTGGTTTTTGAGGCTTTCTGGTACAGCAATCTGAATATGCTGACTGCTCCATTCAAATTAAAGAAATGTGCTATGATTGATCTAAATATGAAAACAAATAACACAGTCAGTTCAGTAGCCCTTGCTGTATTGATTTACTTTGATATTATATGCATTTCACACTGGTTTTACATTTTTCAGTTTGCAATGCACTTTCAGATTTCAGTGTTGATAACTTGTAGCTACGTGAAAAAAATTGCTAAGGGGAAGCTGGAGCAGCCATTAATATATATATATATATATATTTTTTTTTTTTCCCCATGAAAAATTGCCCCAAAATGTTTGACACTTGAAGTTTGAAAAAAAATATTTTTTCAATTATAAAATATAATTCTTGTATAAATTATAAGAACGAATGAAAAAAAAACTACGATTTTGTTTCCCCTTCCCTCTTTTTTAAGTTTTTACCCGTGAGGTAGGACCAGAAAAAAGGAAGACAGAAGAAGAGAGAAGTAAAATGTAAACAACGGAAGTTTTTTCTATATTGAAAAAGCAAACAGTTAATGGTTAAAAAAGCAAAAAGTTTATGGCCCATCTTCGTTCACATTCATATTTAAAAATGAATTGACATGCAAGGAGACATGAATACATCTCTTGGGGCTATTGCTTTGGTCTGTTTGCACTTTCAGGAAAACAACTATGGCCATGTACAGGTGTTATGTTTGTACCAGGAGAATTGAGGAACTGAGTTACCGCTGCCCTCCCTGAGCGTCTCAGGCTCCAAGGGATGCTGGTTTGGAGAAGCGGAGGGGAACACTGCTCTGTTGTTCCCTCCCCTCTTGAAGACTTTCCCTATCCTTCCCCAGATCAGGGTGACCCCATTCTGGGAAAGGCATAGGGAGCCTTTCCCTGCCACTCTATGCCCCCCAGGCACCAGGACTGGAGCAGCTACTGCTCCCCATATCCTCGTATGGAGAAGGTACAGGGAGCAGAGGAGAGGGACCAGCTGCAGGCTGAAACATCTGTACTGCCTGTACCTTTTCTTTTTCTGCTTTGTAAGATAACCAGGACACTGATGCATTTAAGCCAACATTTTGAAAAATGGACACTGATTTCTGGTGCTTTGGTTTTGAAACTGGTAGGGTCTTGTTTTTAAAAGGGATGAGATCTTGTTGCTCCTATTGTTTTATTTCCACATAAAAAGACTGTTTCTATTTCTCTCCATTTCAGCAG